CCATAGCTTCATGTTTTATTTCTCTTCTCTTCTCTTTACTGCCTAAGCTTTAATCCTGTTCCTATACCAACTGTATGCATGCGTGTGTATGTGTATGTTAGACTAGTTTAAGTGTTTATGTAGTTAATAAAGTCTTGTATCACACCTGAGGTTGGTCACTGTTTGCTCATAATCGCAGTCCCTAATCATGCAGATTTACGCTACAAGCTCTGTGTAGAGTTGTACAGTAAGAAAGTTATTTCCCTTAACCAGGAAATTAACGTTCTTAGAATTGACAGACAGTTGACCCTGAGAGGTCAAGTAAATACTTACAGCGGATCTAAATATTTATAATTAATTATAACTAGTTATGATTAATTATGCATATTCCCCCTTTGAGCTGATTCGCTACAAAAGTTTGGGATCAGAACATTTTTTTTAATGTTTTAAAATACAGGAAAACATTTTATATAATGAAATATTATTATGATGTAAAATAACGTTTTTCTATGTTAATATACATTCAAATCTAATTTATTCCTGTGATGCAAAGCTGAATTTTCAGCATCATGGCAGTATATATATATATATATATATATATATATATGTACATACACATAATTATAGCAATTATGTAGCAGCACTCAAATGTGTATAGCCATACCGAGCAGCACAGTCATATGCTAGAACATCTGTCTCGGCCAGCAGGTCTCCATCAGTCTCATGGTCTCCTCCATCTGGCCCCAGCTCAAACAGCTGCAAACAAAATCACAGCTCTCAATCACAAACCAAAAATCATCAAACTCGTGAGAATGAAGTGGGCTGAGGGTCAAACCTAAGAAGATACTTAGATAGCACCTGACCTTGATTTTTGCAGTGTACTCCCCTCGGCCACCAAAAAGACCCAAACCCCCTAACAAGATGTCAGCATCGGCGCAGAAGCGAACGGCCTCCACTGAGTGGGCAGAGTAACCCCAGCCTCCTCCGTGACCTAGAGAAAACATTGAGCAAAAAACAACACATCAATCAAATGCAACCTGACTAAAAATTGTAATAAAATTAGCAAACTTTTATTGCTGAAGGTTGCCGAGTGGTTCTATTTTCGATCTTAATGGATGTTCTAATACTAGACATCCTGACGTTACCGATTCACATAACTTTTGAATATCTGATGATCACATACTGGATGTATCGCTTATGTTGCTGGAAGTTGCTATTTGTGAATGTGCCTTAACAGTCTAAAACGGTATTTGGTGATGTAACAGCTGTATGATTTTTCATGAACTCACTCTCGAAGCGGTTGACCACGCTGTAGTCCTCTTTAGAGTAGACCTTCATCACAGCCTGAGTCTCTTCCTCAGCACTGGCCACACCCATCTTCAGCTCCTGCATCACAGCCAGTGTGTCCAGACAACCTGCACACACAACCAAACAGAAGAACTCACACACTTCAACTTAAGACTCCAATGAGAGGGGTTTTTTATAATTTTTTTTTTTTTCCCTCCGAGGTCCACTTATAAATGTTCATTTAAGTTTTTTGCATCAAAACATTTTAGTCATAATATAGTTTATTCTGATAATTTTCCACTTCCGCCATTACCTTTAGAATTAAAAGGTTAAAGTTAAAATCTATTGCTATTTTGCCTCCACAAACAACAGTTTGTGCTGTTCTATAGTTTATAAGTATAATATGTTTTTTTTTAACTGCTCAATCCTCCAATAATAGCCTTTTTACAACACAAGATCTTGTTGGAAATAAACTTTGCGTCACTGTCAACAAAAGATAAAAAATACTTTTTGCTGCTCATTATAATTAAAATAATTAAAAATGTATTATAAATTCATTATAATAATCGGAATAATTAAATATTATAATAATTTATTAATTATAATAATTAAGCTCATTATAATAATTTAAACTTATGCCACTCATTTGTAACAGTTATGGGCTGGAATACACCACAGAACTTTTAAGATCTGAACAGACCTTGTTGGTAGAAGATGCATGACACATCAAAACAGTATGTGCTCTAAAATCAGCTGAAGATATCAAACATTTGATCTCTGACTGGATAGAGTCATAGTCTGAGGCTAAAAAGAAAAGACTACATGGTTTTCTGTGATCTGGCAACTTCAACTGAGCAAAATCTGCCGACTGACTGAAGAATCTGCAGAGCAGTAGGTGCTACACACAGTCCGAAAAAGTAATGGTTTGCCTGATTTTACTCTTTTCAATTGCTTTTCTGTTCAGTATTAGAATAATAGCATATATCCTACTACTTCTGAATTACTTTCACCATGACTGGATGAGCCAGGTTTCTGAACAGTTAACAGGCATGGCTGACGTGTAAATGTAGGTTATCACATGCTCAAGTATATTAACCTCTCTGTAAGCTACAAAAATGAGAAGGAGCTGTTTTTGTAGCTTTGTCAGTTTTAATAAATTCTCTTTTTTAACTGGAGAAGAAGTTCTGAAAGTTACAGTGTGTTTTCACAGTAAAATGATCTCTCATTCTCAATAGATAAAGGAAAATTTGATCTGACAGACACATAGCTCTATCCTACTACTTCTGAATTACTTTCACCATGACTGGATGAGCCAGGTTTTTGAACAGTTAACAGGCATGGCTGACGTGTAAATGTAGGTTATCACATGCTCAAGTATATTAATCTCTCAGTAAGCTACAAAAATGAGAAGGAGCTGTTTTTGCAGCTTTGCCAGTTTTAATAAATTCTCTTTTTTAACTGGAGAAGAAGTTCTGAAAGTTACAGTGTGTTTTCACAGTAAAATTATCTCTCATTCTCAATAGATAAAGGAAAATTTGATCTGACAGACACATAGCTCAAAGACTGTCCTCTTTCTTAGACAATGCCAGTCAACCAGCTCCATTTCCTCTCTGTCCAGCTGATCTCAATCAGAAACAGCTAGCAAGCTTTGAATGCTCTGCCATCATGTGACTTCATTCCTGACAGGTTTTGAGATCCTGCTTGACAAGAGAGTGCTGTGAACTGCACATTAAACAGCAGTAAAGCTGAGGTAGAGTGAGCTGCAGTGACACTCTGTTGTCGTACCCAGGATGTGCAGCGCTCCGTGGGAACGGGTGGTGGTGGTGTGGGAGCCTGAGGGCAGAGCCAGCTCAGGACTCAGGATGCTGCAGAGGGCCTGGATGTCCGAGGCAGTGGGCACACGGGCGTCTGCTATCACCGCGTTATAGCAGCACATTTCACGTGTGGAAGGCAGAAACCTGGAAGAACAGCGAGACGGCTTGAAGTGAGAAGACATAGCTTGGGACAAGAGTTAATGCAGCACGTCATTCATTTTTTACCAATATTTATTCATTATGATTTTTCGTCCACTGAAACCCTGAGAAACTGTGTACAGTGTTTTTTTTAGGTGACATGATCGTAATGGTATTTTGGCATTATTATGAGTCAGCTGACTCCAGATGTGCCTCACCTCCAGATGACATCATAGACGGGGTCCAAACAGAGGCCGAAACCCTGGAGATCCTCCTGCTCTGAGTCATTGAAGGTGCGGCAGCTCCCGTCCAGTTTGTTGATCAGTAGACATTTGAAGGGAGGAGGCTCAGATACCGATGTTGGAACCAAACCTAGAGAGACCAGAATGGGAGGGAACAGTCAAAGGCTTTAACAGGAGACACAACGCAAAGGCATTTTAAACCACACCAGTGAGTCAAACAAGAGAGCGTACCGATGATGTGCTTGCTGGCAAAAATCTCGGAGGTGGCCAGGATGTGGGAGTTGATTAGTGCCTCGTCGATTCTAAGGAAGGTTTGATCACCGCTGGCCCCGATCCATGTGGCTTTTCGGCCGTACTTGGCGCCAATGTTGGGCATCGGAGAGGGCTTGGCGTTCCAGTAGGGCATGTCTAGGATGGGCCGTCCTAACTGCCCTTTCTGTTGAGACAACATGAGATATATCTTCAGGTTCTTAACCAACAGACAATCAGGCCAAAAATGGATGGATGGAGAGAACAAGTTCTGCTTCAGGAGGAAAAAGATAACTTACAGAGAAACTCCCGAACGTAAAGACCTGTCCATCCATGAGAAGCACTGCAGTGTGGTTACTGCCTGCCGTCACCTGAGTACTGGGGCCGGGCAGAGCTTGCACCAGAGTGGGAGACCCCCTGTGTGTTTGGATAAAAATCAAAGGAGCCATGTTTTTTTTTTTTTTTTAAGTTTATTTCATTGTTTTTTTTTATTTTGTTGAAGTTTGTTTGCTATCAATATTAATTTTAGAACATTAAATATTTTAATTAATTAATTAAAATAAATAAAAAACTCATAAAATGGCACATAAATAAAAATAAACAATTAAAATAAATAACTTTCAAATCAAATAATCATTTAAAATGAATTAATGAATAATTATTTATATTCAATATAAAATAAATAAAATACATAAATGTATATTAATACATAAAATAAATTATATTAAAATATAGTAAATAAATAAACAATTAAAAAAACAATTAAACTATTAAACAAGTAATAAATTCAATTCAAATAAATAACTAAAATACATTTAAAATCAATTAATAATTTTTACAAATATAAAATATTTAAAATAGTTATATAAATAAAATATATACATACAAAATAAAACAATTAATCATTAAAATTAAAATACTAAAATAAATATCTAAATGTTAAATAAATTATTTAAAATAAATATATATTTAGAAATGTAGAAATTTTACAATAAATAATTATATTAATAAAATACAAAAATACATCAAATTAACAATTAAATTACTTAAATACAAAAAATAATACAATTAAAATATATTAAGCCCCTCATTAAACCCTCATTACCTAGAATTAACATCTCCATGCCCAAGTTGTCCATGCTGTCCATAACCAAAGGTGTAAACATCTCCATTCTCCATTAACACCACTGCCAAAAAAACAGGTTTACCATTACAAATGGACATATGACTTCAATTCAGACTTCGCATATCAAAAAACAGGAAAATCAAATATTGACTCAAAGTAATGATGGGGAAAATGAACAATGGCCTCCTGTCACATTATCAAGGTCAGATGTGATCTTCACTCACCGGAGTGGTGGAAACCGCAGCTGACCTGCACGGCTCGCAGCTCACAGTCGAAGCGTACGGCCCCGGGAGGATATGTAGTGATCTTACTGGCATCTTTGTCCCCGCGTTCACTGCTGCCATCTGTAACACAGAACAGAGCGTGAGCCTGTTGGACGGACGGTAAAGAGCAGACGAGGACGGCGAGAGATGAGATGGAGCCAGTGAAGCCGGGGGCTGTTAACGACCTGGGAAGAGAAACGATCTGGTGCCTCAGAGGAAAGGAGAAAAACAGAGCACGAATGAAATATTGGCATGCGTGGACAGAGGCAGAACAGAGCAAAGCAGAGAAGATAAACTGAGTGGGAAGTTGTGATTGTATACAACCTTAAAACACTCTCTATCAAGGGTTAATAAAAGATTAGGCATTGATCTGTGGCACAAATCCGATGAGGGAACAGAGCAAAAGAGGGCTCCTTTCGATCCACACGGATTAAAATAGTGTAGATCAGGAAATGTGTCACGAGTGCAGATCTGTGTCCCAATGAATGTCTGCATGCAAAAATATACACATATAATATATTTTATGGAACAGAGCATAGTGTTACATCTAAACCAGGGTTTCAAATTCAGGATTCAGAGCAAAAATGCCACTAAAAGTGACAAAAATGCCACACAAATAATAATTATAGATTTGATAGAACATTATGAAATATATCTAGTGATGGGTTTAGGGACATTTTATCATTGTTAGATGATATTTCACATTAACGGACTGTGTATTTTGATATGGTATGAAGAAAACCACGTCCTCAAAAACATATAAAATGCCCTTACAATAATGTTTAATTATAGAAGAAGAAAAAAACGGTATAGGAATAGAAATTCCCAAATATGGAATTTCTGTTTTGTGTCATTCCAAAACCTATTTGCTGTTATTTTAGTGGTTATTCGTTGATAATTCACTAATATTGACTGCCAACTGATAATATTCAGTGTTAATTATAATGATAACATCCCCCTTCGTCGAAGCTCTGAAATCTTATTTGCGTAAACTCAAAACCCACACTGGTACTTACAGGTGTCATAACTGTTTGTGACATTATGGGAATTATACTGAATGGATTATGATATTCAACAGCTATGATGGGATATTTTTTTGTCATTTCTGGAGCTTGATGACTTTATTCATCTGTACCGCACATTAAACTATGGAACGGCTTCAGAACACTTGGAATGTAGTGTACGAAAACTTTATGGTTCTTTATGTTTTTGTGCCTTTCTTGGGGCTTAACAATAATACAGAATAGTATATGCTGAATATCGGATTTGGATCGGTCTTGTCTAACCGATACCCGATACGGCAGAAAATTGCAGTATCGGATCGGTGTGTCCCTAAAAATAAAACATGGTATATAACACATGGTATATTATGAGAACACAAGCGAGAAGGGAACATCCACAAGCAACCCACTCCCAGAGGAAAAAAGCACATGTGAGGTAGAATGTAATTCTGGCAGTCTGGATGATCAGTCCTTTTTGGAGTATTATTAAACCCAGAGGAACATTTTATGGAAAATGTATGATGTGCTCATAATCAAGTTTGTATATAACAGAGTGAATTTGAAAATGGTTTATGATTAGATGTTTCTGGGGGGGAGGGGGTGGAAACAACAAGTAATGTATGCAGTGGCCTGTCTACTACATTATTGTCAAATTATCGAGCAAAAAAAGTTTCTGACGTTAAAAAAATGATAATATTAGAGCTGGATGATATACCTAAAAACGTATATAATATAATTTACTATTTAATTTGTAATTTATATAATGTATAAATATATATAATTTATATACATTTATTTATATTTAATATAAATAAATACAAATAAAATAACATTTGATTTTATGAAATAAATATAAAATTAAATATCTAATAAAGTATCAAATAAAAAATAATTATATTAATATTATATTAATAATTAAAAATATAATTCTTTTTTTTTAAAGAAATTAATATCCTTCAGTATGATTTCTGAAGGATCATGTGACACTGAAGACTGGAGCAATGAAGCTGAAAATTCTGCCTTGATCACAGGAATAAATTACATTTTAAAATATATTCAAAATAGAAAACAGTTATTTTTAAATGTTAATAACATTTTACAATATTACACTTTTAACTGCATTTTTGATTTATTAAATGCAGCCTTGGTGAGCATAAGAGACTTCTTTTAAATACTGACCCTAAACTTTTGAATGGTAGTGTATAAAATTGCATATATCGCACAGCTCTGGCTTTACATAGTAAAGATTGCATTTTTTTTTTTAAACTGCATCATAGTGGAGTGGAGTAGTATGATTGTGCTTCAAACGTGTGGGGTGTCTGGGTTTATTCTGGGGTCTGGTCATGTAGACGTCATACCTCGGCCCTCTTCCAGCCGGTGCCGGCGGTTGATGCGCTGTCTCTTCTCCTCCTGTCGAATCTGGGTGTGCTCCTCTATATTGACGCCTGGGGGAGGAGGGACAGGCACAGCTAAAATAACAGAGGTCCAGCACAGGTGGGGCCAAAGGAGGAGACAAATGAGAAACAACACAGGCGGGTGAATGATGAGCATGAGACGCAATGCAAGACAGTGAGAGACAAGAGCAGAGAGATGATCCCAACAAAACACAAACACAGTGCTGCTTCACTAGGCCATTATAGAGACAACACTGCCAAAGCAGCCAGTGACCGATGATCTGCATTAGGACGGGGCAGTATAACTGTTCACCACATGATGGTAGAAATCGGCCAAGTTCGTTTTTATGAATGCTGCAATGCATATTTTTTTATAAGTGCTCAATAGCCAATGTGTAAAACTGATTTTTTTCCTTTCCTCTTGGCATATAAATGAATTAATTAATACAATTATTATTATTATAAACTATTTTTCCTCATGGTTATTAAATTATATTTTACTTATTTTCTATATATTTTATGAATATTGCAATTGTTGGATTTTCGTTCTGTCCTTCCGTGAGCTGAATATTTCATGCATGCAGACCGTATGGCTGAACATATGACATTAACGTGGCCCGCAGACAGGAAAGGGATGTGATTTGATGGCTATGAAACTGTACTGAATGTGATTGGATGACACCACAGTACCTAACAGCAGGTCCAGCGGTATCATTTCCTTCACAGCATCAAAGATTCCTCTCTGTCTGGCCTCCTGACCATCCAGCTCTCTGGCACAAGCCTTACAGCAGCCACATGACGAACAGCCCGACTCACCAGAGCCGCAGCCACAAATCCTGCAGAGGACAGACACAAATAAACCAATAAGGGCTATCACTGATGCAATGAACTGCAGAAGCACCTCTTTTAATCGATATACAGAATAATAAATATCAGAGGTAGAAAGTAACAAATTATAACAACTCCCATTACAATAAAAAGTAAATTTAAAAAAAAAAATCTACTTTTTATAATTAAGTAGAAGGATAATTTTTAGTAGAATTAAATTGTGGTATGTTCACAAAAAAGACATAACATCCCTAAATAAATGTTCTAAACCTATGCAATGAAACATAACATTTAGCGAAATTTGCAAGAAACAAAATTGTCTAAAAGTTAAATATGGTTGTGCCACCTCAGTTTTTATTTACACAATTTGGTAGATCTGTTTTTTGAAAATCAGCCTCTCATCAGTCTAAACAGGGTTTTTAAGAAGTGAAGCACAGTGCCTTTTTAGGGTTTAAAGGAATAGTATTTTTTTTCTACATTAAAACCGATTTGGAGAAATTTAGCATTACATCACTCGCTCAACAATGGATCTTCTGCAGTGAATGGGTGCCGTCAGAATGAGTAATAATCCAAGTCCATCAATAAGTCCATCAATTAATGTCTTGAAAGCGAAAAGCTACACGTTTATAATAAACAAATCCATCATTAAGATGTTTGTCGACACCCATTCACTGCAGAGGATCCACTGGTAAGCAACTAATGAAGTGCTAAATTTCTCCTAATCTGTTCCAATGAAGAAATGAACTAATTTACATCTCGGATTGCCTGGGGGTGAGTACATTTCAGAAAATGTCAATTTTTGGGTGAAATATTACTTTAAATAATGAGCTAATGCCTTTTCAATTCAATGAACACCTGGTAGTTTACTTCTTTTTACTTTCAGTACTTTGACATGTATTCAAGTGAATTATTTCAAGTTGAAATACTTTTACCCAAGTTAAAATTTTGGTAAATATTTGGAACTGACATATGCAGACTCAAAAATGTCACCGAGATTGGCCCTAAAGCTCAACATACATGTGCTACATCGCTTGCCATTTATTTACATTCTCAAACCTTCATGACTGAAAAAGCAGAAAATGAGTTTTCCTTTAAAAGTTTTCCTTTCTCTTTGGAGTGTTACAAGCTCTTGGTGCATAAAGAAGATCTGTAAAGTTGCAAAGACTAAAGTCTCAAATCCAAAGAGATATTCTTTATCAAAGTTAAGAGTCAGCCACTCCTACCTAAAACGGCTCATTCCAACACGCCCCCACATGTCTACCTCACTATGTGGAAATTTTAGCATAATGCCTCCCAAATGTGCACGCAAAGAAAGAAGGCGTGGGATATTTACTTTGAAAGCTGACTCTCGCGATTATGGTAAGGGGCATTACATTTTCGATGTGTGCTTGTGGTGCTCGGCCAATCACAATGCACTGGGTCAGCTGGCCAATCAGAGCAGACTGCGCTTGACAAAGGAGGGGGCTTTGTTGAAAACGACGTGTTTGAGAGAGGCGGGGCATAGAGGACCTACAATAATGTACAGTATTTGAAAAATAATGCATTTTTTGAACATTAAAGCATGTCAACATATTCTGTTACGCCAAATACACAAAATAATGATCTTTAAAATAAAATCGTATGACCCCTTTAAATGAGATTTTATTTATTTGTTCATTTGAAAAGTGATTCTTTTTCAGATGTAATTTTATTAAATAATATTTTTAGTCATGTCCCTTGTAGCCCATTTAGCAAAAAAATAAATACGGTTTTGACACAAATCTCTTATTGTGAATGTTGCCAGTAGCTGGATAATTGTGATGATCTGTGTAAACATGTCTGGTGCGGTCTGTAGTCATCACTCTGTGTGTGTGTGTGTGTGGTTTGGTTTCTCTTACCCTCCTGGCACTCTGTCTGGTCTGCCACTGCTCACACAGCTGGCTCCATACCCGGTGCAGTCTCCACACACGGTGCACACCATACACTGGTCCAGCTTCCACTTGTGCATGCCTGGCTGACACATCATAGATTTCTCCTCCTTCTCATCCAGCTCGTCCTCCAAGTCCTCGTCCATTGCGGTGGCCATGTTCTCTACTCCAAATGCTACGGCAGGAAAACATCAAATCACAAACACTCTTTCAAACACATCTGACCCCACCGCCTGAGAATAATCACAGCATGAGAGAGTCGACTGAGGAAATTTTCATGTCTATGTATGAGATGCAAGTGCACGTGGATGGGAGTGCCATTTTTTCTGTAGTAACGTTTATTTAAATAACTTAAATAATCTTATTATGATGCTCTTTGGCCACCTAATGTAAATCTTATTTTGTGTCTAACCAAATATATAACACTGTTGTAAGAAAATTATAACTTTACTAAAATAAGCTATCATTCTATTTGGTGTAATTTTCTGAAGATGGTCAGAAATATTCAGGGCCTTTGCTAACGCATCATTTTCACGATTGGTGTGAAAAGCATTAAAAGGTTCTCACCTTTCCCTGCCTGGCTCATGGCTCCAGTGTCTCGGCCACACTGGCCCTTGTTGTTCACTCCAAATGTCCACACCTCCCCGCTCTTGGTCAGGACACAGGTGTGAGCTTTTCCCATGGCTACCTGAGTTACAAAGTGTCCCTTCAGATCTGACACCTGACCTGTGATGATGAGGAGGGAAGTTTAATATAAAGGAGCTGTGAAGCATTTTTTTTAAACACAGTAAAAATAACATTTTTAAATGTGCACATTATTTACACATGAAACCTAATTGGTTACAATTCTGTATATTCAGAGATGCTGCACTCATATTACCTGTGATTACAATGAGAGGGTAGGCAAATGTATCAGTACATTTTGCGTCTTATCACAAATAATTGCCGTTAAATATAGGGCCAAATGATTTCTGCGATGTGGAAAACACTGACAGAAACACGGAATCCAGTCATAAAAAATGCAATTTATAATAAAGAAAATTTTGGTTTAACTTAAAAGAGATTGTGACATAAATATATTACTCTTGTACAGTAGAAAGTACTTCAGTAATAATAATAATCAATAAAAATATAATTATTATACTAAGAAATCTCCCAATTTTTCTTGCATGTTTTAATTGTAACTGTGCCCTCTGTTGTGCAGCACTGTTTGTCCAAAAATGTATGGAACTGTTACATTTTTATTTGACTTAATTTTTTTTTAAAAGAATCTGGTAAACTGTTCATGTTTTTCATTTTCATTTGATTACCACCATTTTTTATAATAAATTTGTATTAAATCATAATTCCAGAAAAAACACAAATTCTAAAAAGATAAAAAATTTAATAAATCAACTGAATGAATAAAACTTTTTTAAAAAAGTTTTATTAATTCAGTTGATTAGACATGCTTTATGAGTATTAACATTTATTTAAACCATTAAAATGGAATCCAGAAAAATGTTAATGGAAAACACAAAATCTGGGAAAAATGAAAATACTGGTTTTATTGGGCATATAATTTATTTATTTTTAATTAATGTTATATTTTATGTAAGTTTCATGATTTCAGTAATTTGGCTTTTTTATTATTACTTTTTTTTTTTAAATACAGTTTTACAGTTCCATCTCAATAAGTTAGAATGTCGTGGAAAAGTTCATTTATTTCAGTAATTCTACTCAAATTGTGAAACTCGTGTATTAAATAAATTCAGTCCAAATCTACCAAAATCATCACAATTACAAGAACCAAAGACTTAAACTACTTCAGTCTGTGTGCATTGAATTTATTTAATACACAAGTTTCACAATTTGAGTTGAATTACTGAAATAAATGAACTTTTCCACAACATTCTAATTTATTGAGATGCACCTGTAATTTAATCATTAAAACAGAATCCAGGACAATAAAAAAAAACAATGAAATTTGGGGGACTAAATTATTTCATAGGGCCCCCTAAGTCGGATACACAGTTTGACATTTGAATATGCTGCAAGAGCTCACAATGCACCAATCGGTGATGACGGTATTTGAATATTCTGAAACTCTGCTTAAGGATTGGTAAAGAAATATGACTCAATGAATTGCGAAACTGAGTATCCCATATGTAGAGCACGAACTGCAGGAATATTTGCCATATCAGCAAAGTTAAGCTGGCAGGGAACCCATTAAAAAAACAACAACAAAAAAAACACCGGAAACCATTTAAGTACGTAGTCTGAACATCCAAATATGGTGTTTTATAAATATGTCCCCCTTTTGTGAATGTGGAGCATGTACTGGCTCTAAATAATCTCTTCCACAGGAGACAGATATATGATTTTACAGACAGCAATATGATAAGGTCATCATTTCATCCCTGCCAACATTACGAGCATCTGGCAGGTGGCACTTACAGGTACTGTCGCTGTAAATGGCATCCTTGCCAAACATGTAGAGCTCTCCATCTTTAGTGACAATGCTGCTACTGCCATTGTTGCAGGCCGTATAGATGGAGGTCTTGGTCTCGAGTTTGATCATCTTCTTGGGTTTGTAGGGCTTTGGTTGTCTCCTGCTCTTTGCTAAAGACAGACAGCATCACAAGCGGTTGATCTACGTGCAAAAACATTATTTCAGATCAGTATGTACACGATAATAATTTTCGTCATACTTGACTCTCCATCCTCCCCTTTGCTGGCAGAGCCCGTGAAGAAGACGCTCCCATCCTCCGCCACCAGCAGGGCGTGGGAGCCGTCATGGCCCACTGAGAACTGCACAATCTTGGGCGACTTAGTTACTGGCAGCTCCACCCACTTCCCAGCCGACGGGCCGCCCTGCTTGATACCGAGGCTCTGATACTTTCCAGTATAGTAGATCTGCATCAGAGGAGAGCAAGTCAATTAGGGATGCTCCGATCCGCCTTTTTTGCCTCCGATACCGATTCCGATACCTAGGGTTCGGTATTGGCCGATACCGATTCCGATCCGATACCAGTGAAGTTTTTTTCCCTCGTTTAAATAAATGTAGAATTTATATATCTCTGTGTGTGGAACTGATAATCATTCTTTCACAATCTACTAGATACAGACTACTTCATTATAAAGAAAAATAAAATAAATATGAAAAAATATAGGCCTATGTATATTTATAATCTATGACAAAAATTTATCATAAACTAGGTTAGTGGATAATTCGGCAGCAAAAGTTATTCTAGAAAAATCAGTGCACAATAATTTTAGAAATCCAAACATTTAGTGAAAAAACTATGTTTTGTGGGGAACAAATAAAAGTGTTACACTAAATATGGTAAAATGTTACACATTGCTATTTGTACATTATTATAAAATCCATTAATTAAAAACATTCATGAATATATTTATGTATTTATATATAAGTATATACTATAAAATTTAAATACATTTATTTTAAATGTATAGCATATTTTTTAATAAGGCAACAACATATGATACGATAGGACAACCAGAAAAATAGCACTATCGGAGCCGATACCCGATATGAATATCGGATCGGTGCATCCCTAAAGTCAATCATGTTTAGGTCTCCCTTGTGTGTTATTAATTCTGCGCACAATGGCCTCAACAAATACCTCTGTCAGATAATAGAAATGGACCACTGAAATGACACTCAAGAACTGTCATACGGATGCTAGTTAAGGCACTCAAGTAGTGATAGGACAACTCTTTTGCACCAGCCTATAACTGCACCCAAATGGTTTATTTAAGGGATAGTTTACACAAACACACAATATCTGTCATCGTTTCATCTCCATGTTGTTCTAAACCTGTATGATTTTTTCGCTTTCGTAGACTACAAAAGAAAATCTGAAGCTTCTGAAATTTTCCCTTCACTGTAGCTCACAAATATGATTTGTGTCATTTGAATGTGTACCTTTGTTACAACATACAAGGACAAATGTCACAAATATATCACTCAACAAATCTGGCATGACATGTCTTGACATGTCGTTGAGAGTGGCCGGTATGAGTAGGGGTAGGCTTATATCACGGTATGAGCCATTTTATCTCACGTTAACATTATATAATCACAATATAGTTATTTTTGCTTTAAATAAGGTCTTTATGATATCAAAACATACTAATACTAGCCCAAATAAATAAATAAATAAAAAACAAGTCAAGTTCACTGAAGACAAGTAAACAGTCAGCGATTAAAGGAAGAATAAGAAACTAATTACAAGCAATAGGACCAAAAAAAACTACAGTAGAACACATAAGAAATACTACATACATTGTATAAAGTAATCGAATGTATAAAAACACTGCATATTCTTCACTGTGTAAATTAAATATATATCTCTTCTTACTAAAGTTACAAAAGTGATTTAGACAAGAGCAGTGAGAGATTTTCTCTTTTATTGTTTGATTAACATGAATGACAGACAGTAGGAATATTAGACTGCTGTCACTTTAAGAGCTGCCTGGATCCAATATACTGTTACACGTGTGTTTTCTTTCTCAGCAGACACATAGTAGTGTGTGTATTTAACCGTTCAAGGCCTACAAATCAGCAAAAATAACTCCCATTCAATACTCCCGTGCTCTATGAGCACTGTCTTCACGTGCACGCATATAACGAAAGGAGTTATCTTTCGCTGCTGACTGTGTTTCATCGGCTTAAAATCACTTGTTTTTAAACCGCAAAGCTTAAAAGCACATGCAAACGATACGTTTTCGTGACCACACAGCACAGCAACATGAGCATGTAACTGCAATAGAGACGATAGCCAAAAATCTCTACCATCTAATCGTGTCTACAGGTGCTAGCAGAGTTTGAGTAATGAAAATGGTTTTATGTTTTAGTTTCAGTTTTAGTTAACTAAAATAACCCTGAAACACACATACAATAGTATCATTGACCATTTAAAGGCACAATATGTACGATTTTTCGTAATAAAATATCCAAAAATCATGCAGATGTGTACTTGCATTATCCCAAAAGTTCCCAAGGATTTGCAAATCCAGAGAAATTTCAATTTTAAATAATGGCTCGTCCCTTGTCATTGTGAATTGTGAAGTGACGTGCTCTGCATTTAATAGATCCAAGTGCACACACACAGTAGTGAGCACACACACACCGTGAACACACATCCGGAGCAGTGGTCAGCCATATTGCTGCTGTACCCGGGGAGCAGTTGGTGGGTTCGGTGCTCAAGGGTCTCACCTCAGTCGTGGTATTGAGGGTGGAAGAGTGCACTGTACAGTACATTCACTCCCCCCACCGTCAATTCCTGCCAGACCTGAGACTCGAATCCGCAACCTTCGGGTTACAAGTCAGAGTCCCTAAACATTAGGCCACCTTGTCACCTATCAATAGCCCTATTTGGACGGTAATTGTTTCTCAGGGGGACATAAGGGATTTTCACCATTTACAGGGGGTAGTTGGTGATTTTAATGCCGTCCGAATCCAGGATGTCATGTTTTTCTCTCACCACCCGCGTAAAAATCCCCAGCTGAATTACCTACTCTTTTTTTGACAAACACCAAGGTCATGTAGTCATTTAATTGCTGTCCGAATCCACATCTCTGAGGTTCTAAAAGGAGATCAATTCAAAAGTTGTTTTGTAACTTTTTGACGACTGAAATGCACCGTACGGTTGCACTTCGCGGTAACTTGTATCAGAAAAGCGGCATCTCGTGCATTAAAAATGGACACCTACTGTACATCACCGAAGTACTAGAAAGTTAGAAAGCTAGAAAGCTTCTCGCCACACCGCCTCCCACACTTTATGATTATGAATAGTTTTGTCGAATTGTTTTTGAAATTTTGGATCGCCCACACTGACATTAAAGTTAGTGTTTCTTCTCGTGTCCAGTGTTGCCTCTTTGTTGCCATGCTGAACATCTGACTGAGCACGTCAATGATCATATGACTGACTACGAAAGACACGCAGTTCCGGGTTCGTAGGATTACAAACTCAGACGTTCACCGCAAATGTATCTTCATCCGAAAGCATGTGTTTAATCACTAAGGAGCTATGGAGATTTATTTTTTACAGATGTCCCCATGAAAAACAATTACCGTCCGAATAGGGCTAAATGATGTAATATCTGCGCTATCGGTTTCCAATTGTAGAAACTATGGCAACACACGTGGACAAAAATGCCGCTGCAGATTTAAACTAAGTTCATTACAGCTGTCGCAAATAAAATAACAATGAAATGAAAACTGTTCAATGTTGCATCATGATTCTTTTTACATGTTTTTACAGTGTTGCGCATTATAACCAATCACAGACGAGCCTGTTGAGTTTATGAACGCAGCGGCCAATCAGAGGCGTTTAGATGAGTCATCAGAAACAGGAGTTTTGTTGTTCAATGCGTGCTCGCTGACTGAATTCTGCTCTCTCGCAAATTCATAAACCACAAAGTGCAGATGCACGTACAATGTCATTAAGAGATTCGTTCATCAAACCGTGTAGACAGCTTCACTGATTATAAGGGGAGTTTTTGAGAGTGCTTGAACTTGCGCTAGCCTGAAGTCAGTGATGATGTTCTTTGATAATGAAAATGTTCTTTGCTCGCTTTCTCTGTGTAATTTATTTGCTGTTTGAATAACTGTGGGAGGTAAAGGTTAAAAAAAATCTATTCATTACCTCATCCGTGAACATGATTTGTGAATTCCATACATCTCTGGATGGTGAAAATGACATCACCCATTGTTTTTACTCTCCTTCATAGCATCATCAAGCTTAGCCTTTGTTATTGTTTTGAAAATGCGACCTCTAGTGGCGAAAACTTACATATTGTGCCTTTAAAAGTCATTTCAGTTACATACACTTTGAGGTCATTAATGAAATACAGCAGCATAGCATTTTAAAACTTTAAAATATATATTACAGGCCACGGCGTTTATTAAGAAAGTTGCCCAGTCATGACTCATCCAGGCCTGTTTTTACTGCTACACACACATGACCGGATAATCTCCAGATAAGGTAAAGAGTGAGTATAGTCTTACAGAATGATAAACCTACAGCAGCTCTCATATCTCATGAGGCCTGGCACACACTCACTGCACCTCCCTAAAACACACTCCATAACTTCAAAATCAATGAGACACACCCAGCGTCCATTTTTAACTTTTTGCCACACCTGACAACAGCAGGTCAACTGAGATAATAAACCGGTCATAAATTATTAACCGACATAATTTAACAAAGCATTTTGTTCCTAATCAAGTTACTGCCAGATGGCTAAACTGTTTTATGTACTTGCCAAAGCTGATTTGTACTTGCATTTAGTGCTCATTGTGTGTCAGTTTTGGATACGATCCACTGCCCTGTATTTGTACTGCGTGAGGATCACGTGCAAATACACACAAGCTGTGCTCGCTTTGGCCTCTCAAACGCTCCAGCCTCACAGAGTGTCAAAGAGCCTCGGCACTCAACTGGAAGGGTAGAATAATCAAATTACTTCCAGTTACTTAAGCACGTGCGCGGCTCTACAGGCTGCCCTTCTCTGCTGCTGCTGTCGCTTTCACACCAGAGACAGCATCACTGCCATCAGCCCTGCCTGCTAGACCTAGTGTGAACCTCACACACCGATGAAACATGCAGTTTCATACCCTTACTCACTCACACAACCTCCATCTGATGTAGATTTAAGAAGATTACGAAATAAATGTGCATATTTAATGGCCAGATGACTGCGCACTAGCTAAATTTAACTGTGCTTCAAGTGCTCTTTTTTATCACTTGTCAACAGACCCAGTTTTCTTTAATCGTACAAAAGCATTTCTATTACTTATAGTTTGGATTCATAGTGACACAAGCTAAGGCAGAGTAATAAACGTTTATATATTTTTTGCTCTCCAATAAGTACATGAATAGGTAAATAAAAAAAAACAACAATAATAAATGGAAATAGGAGATGCTTAATTGTAATGACAATTATTTCTTAATCCCAAACATCATCATAAACCAAAAGTTGCAACTGACTTCCATATTGTGACATTTTCATACATCAGCAGAGAGAAGTGAACAATATTGCAGGAAGATATGATATGATTAAAGATTACAGGGTCAAAAGGTACATCTATTTTTGATTTCAAGTATATATATAATTTTTTGATTTTATGTTAACTTATTGGTCCTTAAATAGACTTAACGGGGGCTTATTATGCTCTTTTACAAAGTCTTGATTTTGTTTTGGAGGTGTACTAGAACAGGCTCTCATACTAGGTTGTTCGAAAAACACATAATTTTTCACATATTTTACATTATTACAACACCTCTCTCCCCAGTCTGGCATGAACGGATCGAATAGTTCCTGTATCAAATGAAGGCCCGCCTTCTGTAATACGAAATGTGCTGTGATTGGTTAGCTGGGCCAGTGTGTGCTGTGATTGGCAGCACTCAGCGCCTGGTTGGGAAATGTCATGCCTCTTACCATAGCCGCCTGCCAGCTTCAGTGTAAATATTGAGTCAATAAATTAGTCTGCCACTCTATAACACTCGTTGCCTTCTCTAGTGCAGCTCAACCAGGTCTCGTACCATTCGTCGATATTAGTGATATCACAAATCCCGGAAAATATGCGTTGTAGTCCAAACGAGTCGTTCGTTGTAGTTTTTGAAAAGTGATTTCTGTTAAATAAAATGTCTCCTTTTGAAGTGGACTTTGAGCCTTGTAACGTCTGAGATCTTTTTTATGCTCAAACAGCAACATTACGGACTAACTAAAGTTGAAAAAGTGAAAAAGCATAATAGGACCCCTTTAAATTCCAAAACATATTTTCTTAAAACCCAAACATGTTCTTCAAAGGTTTACTGGCATTCAGTCGATCATGATCTGCTTTATCTTTACTTCTAAGCTGATGCTGTAATTATGCAAGACAGTAGCACTTCCACCACCACATGAAAAACTGTGTTCAGATTCAGTTAAACACTAATGCAGAGACACACAGGAATATAGAGGTAGGTCTACCTTCCCAGATGCCGTTTTCATCAAAGCAAACTCTCTGCCAGCTCCAATCAGGGCTGCTTCCTCATCAAACCCTGTGCCTGAGGACAGACATACACACACGCCGCAAAAGAGACTTACCAACCAAGTTAATTCTTTTCAACACGTACTTCCTCTTAAACACTGATGTGCATGCACAGACGTGTGTGCACTGAAGCACAGCTCTCACTAATGATATGAAGGTCTTTCTCCAGGTCAAAGAGGGAGATGCCACAGGCATGAAGACACTTCCTGGCCAGTTTGAGCTGCAGTTCCTGCTGTAGGGCCGGGTCTGAGCTTGTGGCGTAGATCCGCACCACAAAGCCATCCTAAAAAAAAAAAAAAAATCATACACAAAACCATTAATAATCATAATAAAATCCCTGTCTCTTTCTACATCTGCGAAATGTAATGTCAATGTTTGGTAGCCAGTAGCAGAATTGAAACGTATTATACGGTTATTAAACATTTAAGCTGAGCTGCAATAGAAGGTACTTTAGGAGGGTCATGCGAGGCATCTTTTTGATGCTAAAACGCTTCTTATCCCAGGTAAATATGCAGAATTGATTACAAGCAAACATTTGTAGGTTGTTTCCGCTAAAGATTATATTAAAAAGAGATGTTTTCAATACATGGTTCTGTTTGTTTGATCATAGTTAGTTTGACATGGTGATCTTGGCTTGGCAAAGCAACCAATGGCATGAGTTTGAGACGGGACTATCTGTTGCAGCAGGGCCAGTTCGGTTTCAATCCTATGATAGTCTCGATAAGTGACTAACCCAAACCGCCCTGTCTAGTGTTTTATTTTTCAGGCAGTCGTCAGTGGCGAATGCTTTTGTCATTTGCAATCAGGGATTCTGTAGCGTCACTCTTTTGCTTACCTCAACTGCAGCTAGGTCTGGGCGATAAAACAGTATCGATATTTATCGACGGTACACCTTCTTCGATAACGATATAAAAAATGTCGATATAGTGCACGATATAGGCACGTGCTATGAGTGATGCAGACAGCTTACACAAACACGAACACATGCTGAATTGAGTGCTGTGCCTGCCTGTGATGAGGAGATTGTGAATAAAAAATTTATATTAGTCGAATTTAACAAACATTTGCATTTGAATGCAAAAATAGTACAATCAAATGTTAGGAGTGCGTCAGGGAGCGTCATCAGTGGAGCACGAGATGCGGTGATGATGATGTAAGTGACGTAGTTGCATTGTAATGTTTTGTTAATCTAGCCCACAAGACGCGCCACTGCTGTTATGCATTCAAAATATTAGAGAAATATAGAAGCTCAATGCGGAGAAGATCTTGATTAGGTGAAAACCGAAACCAAGCCATTCACACAGAATGCATATTCAGCGCATTTTTTTAGACGGACAAATATGACTGCTGCACTCGCATCTCACAGAAGAGATGTATAGAAAGCCACGCAAAGTTAAAACAGTTTAAACTTTTAGAAAACACGTCGCGAATTTGTGGAGGTTTATTCCTTTTCACTGTCTCACATATGTTTTTAAATGCAATCTGAGTGAATGGCGCTTCGGCTCTTTGGATTAAGCAATGCATAAATACATGATGCTGTTTTGTTCATAATTGTTTATGCAATTTACAAAATTATTTGATTTATATGAGTTAATGTAGACGTAATGCATGTTTTTTATAGACTTATTTTCCTTGCATTGACAATTTAAATGTGCTGCATTATTTTGCTCATCGCACCCTCCTGTGGCCTCGGGAGACAAGACAAAAGTTTCCTTAAGGCCTATTTAATCTGCATATAAAACATTAGAAAATATTTGTTGTTAGTCTCAATAAATTGGGTTAATTAAAAAATACAGTGGTTAAATTAAAAAAAAAAATTGCATTGACAATTTAAATGTGCTGCATTATTTTGCTCATCGCACCCTCCTGTGGCCTCGGGAGACAAGACAAAAGTTTCCTTAAGGCCTATTTAATCTGCATATAAAACATAAGAAGATTTGATATTTGTTTAATTTTTATTGTGTGTTTGACTGTTAAAACCAAAATATTTGTTGTTAGTCTCAATAAATTGGGTTAATTAAAAAATCCAGTGGTTAAATTAAAAAAAAAAAATTCTATTGCTCATTGTTTTAAAAAAGGTTATAAAAAAAATGTCAATAATTATCGATCCCGGACGATATGAAACATTATATCGTTGATACATTTTTTAGCTATATCTTCCAGCCCTAAAGTCTGCAGCCTTTTAATACTTCTTTGAATACATCTTTCTGCTAGTAAGTGAGCTTCATGCACTGGCTGATTTGCACATGCACGGTCATAATAGTAACATTTTAGTGAAATTTCATGGGCAAAAAAGGTCCATTGTCTATTATCAATAGTGTAGCGAAGTATGACGCACATTTCACACAGAAGTCACTTTCAAACCAAGCAGCTTTCTAATCTGCGTTGATCAACTTGAACCTGTAGCAAAATATGGGGATGGGGTCTTTCACCCTCATGTGCAATTCCTGCTTGCATGGATTCCCACTGAAATGACAGGATTTTGCCCGCATAAATTGGCCAAAGAAGGGCAAATGTGACTGCACCTTAACCCAAATTTCCATGTGTGAATCAGTCCATGGACATGGCTGCTTCTAAACATTCGTCATACCAGTCTGGCGATAACATGACAATTCAACTGTTACATTTTGAATATTCTCTCAATTCCATCTTTTGAACATCCATGAAACCAAAATTTCCAAGCTTCAAAATTCCTTGTGCATCAAGCAACCACATTAGAGCTTCCGTTGACCATATTTAATATGCTTTATATACAGTATGCATATGTTTGGTGTAATAAACTTTCAATGGAGAGACAGAAATCGCTTTCATTAAAAATATCTTCACTTGTTTTTCAAAGTCTTGCTGGTTTGAAACAACATGAAGGTAAATGATGACAATTCTTCCTTTAATGTAGCTGGTTTGCAATGTTGTGGTAATGTACTGCCTGAATAGTTTCCCATTTTGAATGTCCTAATGTTTTTTGTTTGTTTGTTTTTTCTTATTATTACAAACAGAAGCCTAGAGACATCATACCATGTTTGTTACGATAATGACAGAAGAAATTCTGCATGCTTCTGATGACAGTGCTTGTTCAAAGGCTCACCAGAATAGTCATAATCTCAGAGGCGTTGACACCATTAGAGGCTTTAGCCTCTCATCTGAGGAAGCAGTGAGTGTGTGAGGGTCAAAGGGAGAATGCACACGGGAGATGCAAAGCAGAAACGCACCCTCACTACTAGCAGCAGTCTCACACATACTGAGCCAGTTTCATCCAGAAACACACGCACTTAAGTTCAGTGTGTGTCGGTTCAGCGATATGTGTGTGCAATTTGCATTAAGTGAGCATGTGATAAGAAACAGAAGACAACACACTGGAGTCTGATTTGCCGCTGTTAACTGCTTTTGAAATTTGCTTTCAAAAACCTCGCTCTTGCCCTTCGTCCTTCCTCAAAGATATGTGGCATAACAGTTCATAGCATTAACCCTTACAACTTCCCCCCCTTAACCCCAGCACTCCCTCACTTATCATCGCTCATTCATGTATGCATAAAGAGATCTTCAAAGGCAAATATGAATTATCACATCCCCTCCCTGTACTGCTGCCCACTCACGATCTGCCAGTGGGTTCAATTCTAAGAGAAATGCCCACGTCCGCTGCTGCAGCCCCTCCCCTGCCTACACACACACACACACAGCAGGGCTGAAATCGGCTGAAACAAAGGAGATCAGGTGCTGCTGACAGCCACAATCATACCACTTGAGAAAAAGGCACTGATCATGTTTGTATGATGTGCAGGGGGAGAAACAGGGGAATCTGTTATCGCCTGATGAAGACCGCAGCATGGAGAGAACAGGCTGTTCATTTTGGATTAAACGCACTAAACAATTCTTGGGGTTCATGCATTGTTACCCATCTTTTTCATGCTTATTGCAGTCTAACAGAACAGTTTGAGCACTTGTCTCGGTTGGCTACATCACCCAGCCATCTAGCGGCTTGGCTTGAAGAATTAACTAATGACAGCTCCTGCAAATAACATTTTTTTTTTAGTGGATATGATTGATTCCATGATATGATATGTGACCCTGGTCCACAAAACCAGTCATAAGGGTAAATTTTTCGAAATTGAGATTTATACATAATCTGAAAGCTGAATAAATAAGATTTCCATTGATGTATGGTTTGTTAGGATAGGACAATATTTGGCCGAGATACAACTATTTGAAAATCTGGAATCTGAGGGTGCAAAAAAATCTAAATATTGAGAAAATCGTCTTTAAAGTTGTTCAAATGAAGTTCTTAGCAATGCATATTACTAATCAAAAATTACGTTTTAATATATTTACAGTAGGACATTTACAAAATATCTTCATGGAACATGATCTTTACTTAATATCCTAATGAATTTTGGGATTTAAAAAAAATCTATAATTTTGACCCATACAATGTATTGTTGGCTATTGCTACAAATATACCCCAGCGACTTAAGACTGCTTTTGTGCTCCAGGGTCACATATGATTGAGTTTAACATCAGCATGTTGCTAAGTTAATGGCAAGGGAAAAAAGCACATGCAAATATTTTTATATACACTATACTGTTAAAAAATTTGGGGTAAGTACGATTTTTTAAATTCTTTTGAAAATAGTCTCTTCTGCTCACCATGGCTGCATTTATTCGATCAAAAATACAGTAAAAACAGTAATATTGTGAAATACTATTACAATTTAAAATAACGTTTTCTATTTTAGTATATTTTAATAATGCAATTTATTCCTATGATGGCAACGCTGTCATTTCTTAATTTTGTAATTGTCACAATATTCTGCAGAAATCATCCTAATATGCTGATTTGCTGCTTATGAAACATTTATTATTATTATCAATGTTAAAAACAGTTGTGCTGCTTATTATTTTTTTGGTAACTGATTTTTTTTTTTTTAATTTCTGCCAATCTCTAATTCTGTTAATCTGGAGTACCTATAGAGTACTGCATCCTGCATCTCCGAAGAGTCTTTAGTTTGATCAGATTTATAAAAGAAATAAAAAAAAGTCGAGCTCCTGGAGGCGTGCCGTGGACGGAGCTAAAGAGTCAATAGCACACAGAGTTTTTGCATCGCAATCGTCTGCAAGCTGTGACATCAACATAATTCCCTTATCGCTGGGTTCTTTGGGAAGCTGAACAATGTTATCTTTCCCTCACAACCAAAAGCACATCTCTTTGGTGACATTGTTGATTTTGTGGTCAAAACAAAATACATACTCGAACCCTAAAGGAGTGTACTTGGCACAGAAATACTCCCCTTTAAGATTCTTCAATGAACAGAAAGTTCAAAAGAATGGTAGTGGTAGAGCATTGTACTATATTATATTCTTTTGAAAAAAAAATGTAATCGATACTTTTACTGATTAGCATAATTATTACCAAAGAAAGCCTGATACAGATGCAAGTATATTTATATTCAATAAACATCTCTCGCTTTGTCCGCCATCTTAAGACTGTTTTTTACTTGGCACAATGCATTGTGGTATTGCCTTCACCCTGAAGAATTCATACAGTGCTGCCTTTTCATTTGGCATACTTATGCAGCCTAGTTTTTGGAATTGCCTTCGTGACTATAATGCCTAAAATGCTGCCTACAAAGATAGCTCAGTGGGTTTTGGAAAAGAGCAACATTGCCAAAGAATAAAACCACTTACATCTTTGCAGGCTGCTATCTGGTTGATATATTCTCCATCAGTGAATATGATGTTCTGACCATCTGCTTGTAGACCTGAGAAATAGAGTGACATTTAAACAGAGAAAATTTGTTGATGCTGTTAAAGGGGTCATATGATGCTGCTAAAAAGAACATTATTTTGTGTATTTGGTGTAATGAAATGTGTTTATGCGGATTAAGGTTTCAAAAACACATTATTTTCCACATACTGTACATTATTGTTTCTCCTCTATGCCCCGCCTTTCTGAAACACGTAAATTTTTACAAAGCTCATCGGTATGGAAAGCGAGGTGTGCTGTGATTGGCCAGCTATCCAGTGCGTTATGATTGGCCGAATACCTCAAGCGTGTGACGGAAATGTTACGCCCCTTCCCATATTGTGATGATGCCGTCAGGCCGAAGCGATGATTCAAAAACATGAAAACCCATTATAAACGAGGCATTCGTTGCATCCAGTGGGGACATAATTATGGATTATAATGACTTATACTGTCTTTTTACGCGTTGCGTTGCATCGCGCCGTGTAAACCTAAAACCCTGTCTGCATTTGTGATCGAAGAAATAACAAACAACAAGCCCTACTCTACACTGCCCAAAAAACTCGCTTTAAATATAAAATATAAAAACTCTTTAAATATAAAAAAAAACGTACTTACAATCTGTGAGTCAGAACAGCTGGCATTGTAGTCTACTCTACCAGGATCAGGAAACGGTCCTCCATAAAATGCGCTGCACACATCTGAATATTTGGGTTGAAGTTTTCTGGAACAGTGTTGTAAATACAACTTAACCACTGATTTCTAGTCATGTCCATTTTTGGACAGTCAAACAAAGTAGTTTCGCTTTCACAACGAAACACAGCGTCACACACGGCAGCCTTGAGTGAGCGGCGGCGGCCTAGAGTGAGCAGAGGCGGAGGGCTTGAGAACGGCGCGGCCGGCGGATTCGCCAAAGAAGGCTTGCGGCAACCACATGTGACGACCACGGGCTAGACTCCACTTCGATCCACAGCGCAAAGTTGTTGTATTTCCTCAGCGACCAGCACGGATCAGCTCCAGACATGACGAAGC